GCAAGGTAGGGGGCAGGGCATGATGGCACCCAGAAGGGACACCACTCTAAGATGAGAAATAGGGAACCGTTGGAAGGGTTGGGGACAGATTCAGAAATGGGAGGGAGAAGAGTCCCTTTTATGATGCTGGGAGAAGCTGAGATAGGGCAATAGCCACACGTTCCTGGGTGTGCCTGTCTTTCCTTACTCAGCTGGTTCAACTTAACGCTTCTCACCACAAGGCCTGGTGCAGGCTCAGTTGCAGGTAAGAGAGAAAATGGGTCCCAGTGTATTGCCTGCACTACAGAACGGTACACAAGCCTGGAACTAGGCTGGAAATTTAAAAACACATGCACACAGACAGAGACATGGGGACACGGGTCATCCTTGAAAAAAAGTGCCAACTTTATCGTGCTCCATGGAAACTTATATAGGGATCCTTAACTGACAGCCATGCTCTTGGGATTTCCAGCTGTAAAACCCACCAGACTTCACTCCCCTGCCATCCGGGTCTCATGAGGGTCTTGTGCTCAGAGCAGCTGCAGGCACAGGAAAACAAGGTGTTTTGCTCAGTTCACTCCAGCAGGCAAAGGGTCTGAGGCAGGCAAAGAAAGTCAAGGGGCCAGGGATCTGCAGCCCTCAACACCCCAGCCCTTCCCTGCTGTCCAAGGACTCGGTGTCCAGTCACAGCCCCTGAATGCTGCAGTGCTGCAATGGGAAGCCGCTCTGCCTGGCCCTCAATGAGTCTTCAGTCTCTGGCGAGGGCTCCACCCTTGCCACTCCGCAGCTCCTGCCCCCAGCTCTGACTTCCATAGTCACTGATACACACCCTACCCTTCGATAGATTTTCACATCTCAGCTCTGTTTGCACTAGTCCCCTGATCTCTATCAGCATCCCGACCTATAAATCCCTATCTGGCTGACCCCTGCCTTTGAGGTCTTCCTCACCTCCCCAAAGCTGGGTTTCCTACTCTCTCACAGTGTACCCCTTTCCTGACATGTTCCTCCCTCGGCCCAGCCCAGTACTCTTTCCCCTCTCCTGCAAGCTTCAAAAGGGCATGGAGCAACCCCCTGTCCTTTCCAGGGGGGTCGCTGAGAGAGGTCCTGGGTTGTGGGCTGCTTGTACATCCTAGAGGGGCAAGGTGGGGCTGTCGTTTTGCAGAGGCGCTGCACTCCTTTGGTCTCCTAGGGAACCACACCACTTCCCCAGGTAGAGTGCTCTGTTCAGAGAAGCCGGGCCTCTGAGCATTCCAGAGAACAAGCAGCTCCCATGCCACCCCAGCGATTACCACCAAGTCCCCTCCCCAGAGAAACTGAGTATCTCGTACTTAGCTGCCTGAAGTGAAGGGTGGTCATGGCACAGACAATAAGGCTCCCAACTCTCTGTCCAGCATTAACCTTCCAACCACCACCCCATTTTCTTCCAGGACAAAACTGTACCCCCATTTCCTGCAAAGGGGATGCCTGCTTCAAAGAGCAGGACGTTCTAGCTAAGGGCTTGAACTTCTGTGAGGCAGGCCTTCTGCACTCCCAGAACTGGGTAGCTGTCTTCCCTTAGAACTGCAGGCCTGGGCCAGGCAGTGGTGGGGCATGCCTTTAATCCCAGCACTTGGGAGGCAGAGGCAAGTGGATCTCTGTGAGTTCGAGGCCAGACAGGTCTACAAGAGCTAGTTCCAGGACAGGCTCCAAAAGCCGTTGAGAAACTCTGTCTCGAAAAAACAACAAAAACAAAACAACAACAATAACACAAAACTGCAGGCCTGGAGTGGATCAACAGTGGAATCTAAGGAGAGCTAGCTACATTTGTGGAGAACCAGTCTGCCTGGGGTTGAGCAAGCTTGACCCTCTCTGCTTCGTGTAAGGCAGGGCATCAGGTGGAATTTTCCAGTCTCCAGGTCAGGACCCCTTGTTTCTGACCTACTGGTTTTCTGGGAACTGACTGTCTGACCTCATGGGGAAGCTCAGCTCAGTTCTTATTTCATTGAGGCTTCTTGCCTTCATGAGCTGGGCGAAGGGGAAGAGGCAGATGAATGATCTTACCTGTTCTTGGAGCTCTAACGGTCCAGCTCAGGCTACACTGCAGCCTGCAGCCAGGCCTGCATGGCGGATATACCCAGCTGTCATGAAGCTGGGTCTGGGCCCTACTACCCGGAGTGCTGTCACGCCTAGGCCTCAGGTGGCTGCCCACAGCTGGATGGTACTGTGCAACAAGGCCCTTCCCAGGAGTCAGCAGGAGCCCCCTGCTCTGGCTGCTCCTCTGAATTCTCTGCTCCTGTCCCCAGTGCATTACGTGAGAGCAGCATTCGAGAAGACTGTGTGAGCCCTGCACATTTCCCTGTTCCAAATCCTGAATCTTTAGCAAGGAGGACTTGTCAAGTCCGGGCTCTTTCCTTCCCCACCCGCAGGCCTGAACACAGGCCCTCCAAGGCTCTTATCCCCAACTGAAAGAAGCCTGAACTTTACTGGAGAGGGATACACCTGCCTGACCCACATACCGTGGGAAGACCCCTAAATCCTGCAGGGAGAGTGTCTTCATCTACAGAAACTGCCTAGCCCCAGCTCGTTTCCCCAGACCCTCCTCTCAAGGCATCAGAGTTAAGGGGTTTCCCTGCTTTCCTTCAGCAACCTCCATCCCCTTCATCTCTAACCAATTCCCTTTCCCCTCATCCCTGCCACATGGCTTTGAAACTACAGTCCAATAAACCTGAACTCCGGTTCCAGTTATGTTGTGGATATTTCTAGGAAGAGACAACCAGGAAGACATACCCACTTCTGGAAGGGGTTTGCTTGCACATGCAGGTGGAACTGGTTATCCAAACGCAGTTTGAAACAAAGGGGAGGGGGATAGGTTATAAGTTACAGTGGGGGTCAGCGAGATGGTTTAATAGATAGAGCACGTGTGTGCCACTAAGCCTGATGACCTGAATTTGATCATTCACATGATGGAGGGAACCAACTCCCACAAGTTGTTCTCTGATCTCCACAAACAACACATATGATGTGGTGTATGTGTGTGTGTGCATGAATATATGTAAACATTTAAAAAATTATTTTTTAAAGATTTATTTATTATGTATACAGTGTTCTGTCTGCATGTGTGTCTACAGACCAGAAAAGGGCACCAGATCTTATTAGATGGTTGTGAACCACCATGTGGTTGCTGGGAATTGAACTCAGGACCTCTGGAAGAATAGTTAGTGCTCTTGACCTCTGAACCATCTCTTCAGCCCTAAAAAATTATTTTTAAAAATTACAATGGTCACTCACTGTTATACCAGCATTGGAAACCTGAAACAGGAGAATTAGGAGTTTGAGGCAAATTCTAGACCAGCGTGGACCAAACAGTGAGACCCTGTCTCAAAACAACAGCAAGAAGAAGTAACAGTGGCATCCCTTCCCCAGCACAAGCCCAACTGCTGCTGTTCCTTTTCTATGGGACCAAGCTGAAACACAAAATATTCGGTAAGCTAATTTACTGAGTGATTAATTCGATGACTATGTTCTGGACTGGAGATGTGGCTCAGTGGTAGAGTATTTATTGCCGGCTTCCTAGGTACTGCTCAAAACAAATAAATGAGATTTTAAGAGCCACTATGCCAGAAACTGCACAGGAGTGGAGAGGGTAAGCCTCAGCCTGGTCCTCAGGGAGCAACCAGCTTACTGAAGTAGCCAATAGTTGAGAGAGAATCATTTTTGAATCTTCCATTTGAGCTAGTTTTTTTGTCTTCTGTCTTGAGCCATGTTCTTGTTTCTTTGTTTTGTTTTGTTGAGACAGGGTTTCTCTATGGAGCTTTGGCTGTTCTGGAACTTGCTCTGTAGACCAGGCTGTCTACAGAGCCTACTCTGTAGACTCACAGAGGTCCACCTGCCTCTGCCTCCCATGTGCTGGGATTAAAGGCGTGCGCCACCACTGCCTGATATTGAGCTATATTCTAAACCTAGATGGGAACAATGAAGCCTGGAGGGAAATAGTCCAATATATGGCCAATAGAATGTGGGGAAAAGGCTCGAAAACAAAACTTATATAGGACTGTCTAAAAGACCTGGGCAGGAGAGGGTGGGGGGTGAGTTTGGTGGGATGGCTCTGTAATTAAGGACACTTAATGCTCTTTCTGAGGACCCAGGTTCAATTCCCTACAACACACCTATCAGGTGGCTCACAACCTCCTGTAACCAGCTCTGAGGATCTCTGTCCTCCTTGGGTACCTGCACACATGTGGTGCACAGAAACTCATGTAAGCACACACACATACACACAAATTTAAAAAATAACTAAACAGGATTGGAGAGATGGCTCAGAGGTTAAGAGCACTGATTGCTCTTCCGGAGGTCCTGAGTTCAATTGCTAGCAACCACATGATGGCTCACACCCATCTGTAATGAGATCTGGTGCCCGGAACACTGTATAATTAATTAATTAAAAAAATAACGGAAAAATCTTTAAAAAAGTAAATAAAGAGCCAAGAAGGACACACCCTCCTTCACTCTAGGAATGGTATCCTCCACACACTTCCATGTCCCATCGGCGGACAGGAAGAGCTTGCTAGTTAGGCCTGAAGAACACGCAGCAGTTCCTAGCTGGGAAAAATGACATAGGAATTGGAGTCAGGCTTTCCTCTGAGTCCCAGCACTTGCTGGCTGCAGGCTTTGTCAAGCAGCTTCACTCCTCTGTCCCGTTGTTTCTCCACCTGGAAAAAAGAAACGGTGTCTCGGAGTACATCAGGGCGGGGCAGTCATTTAGAAGAGTTTCAGGAAACTATAAAATATGTGAAAAGCTGAGGGTGGAATTAACTCGAAAATAAAAGTTAACATTCTTTCCGTTAGGATAACGTGATCATCTTCCTTCTGCCTTTGATTTGGTGCGCTGAGAAAGGCGTTCCTCAGACAGCCTGTCCAGAACTGGGACGCCAGCGTATGTTTGGACACCATACCAGGCTCTAGATGGTAGATCCTCATTGAAGCGGGAGACCCACCCACTGGCTAATGATTGACTCGGGCATGCTGGGACTTGCAGGCTGGCTGACCATCCTGTGACGCCAGGGCCGTTGGGAAATGTAGTCCTTTGCCTCGTCCCGGACATCGGTGTCCCACCGGCTCAGCGGTGACAGCTTGGGAGGTAGGCGGCAATGACAAGGGTCTGAAATAGGTGCAGAGTGGGAGGGCGCTTGCAGGCTGGCTTTTGGGGCCTCTGTCCTGTGGGTACCAGAATGGACACCCCGGCCTGCCACTGATGCAACGGGGCCTGCTGGGTGCGGTGGAGGCAAGGAGCACCGGGACACTTTTCTATGCTCCAAGGAAAAAGGAGTGGGACTGGGTTTTTCTCTTTTATAAGACTCTCCTATCGGAGAATAAGGAGATGTCTGTCTCCTATGCCTATTTGGACACGTTACCAATCTTCCCCAGAGATGCGCCAGATGGACCATAACTGCTCCTTGCAGAGGGAGTCACAGCTATGCTCAGAAGCCAGGGACCAGCAAGTATACTGTACCCCCACTGGGAGCATCTGGTTGCCTTCTCAAAGGGTCAAAGGAGCGAAAAGTCATTCCCTTGAAACGTAAAGAAAAAGTGTAGCAAAGAGAGGAAGGCCCCAGATTCTGCAAAGGTCTCTCCTTCCACCCCCACAGCCCCCTGAAGCAGCTCTGTTGAGCATGGGAGGGTTCTACCTGCCCTACACCGGAGTTTGACGGCTCAGCATGGACCAGTCTGTGGCGATCCAGGAGACGCTGGCTGAGGGGGAGTACTGCACCATCATATCCTTGGCATTGGGAAGTGGGAGGGAAGGTGTGGAAATATCTGTCCGCTCTCTCTCTCTCTAAGCCATACGGAAATCGGTAAACCAGTATTTACTAAGTATTCACATGGCTCTGGTTTCTCTACTAGGTGCTTTAAATATGCAGATATCCTCCCAACAAGCTGTGAAGTTGGGGATTATTATACCCATTTTGCAGATGAGGAAGGCTCAGAGAAGTGAAGTAATTGGCTGAGGTCACACAGTGAGCGGGAGGGAGGAACGTGGCAGTGGTGAGTGGAGTGGGCGGGATGGGGGAGGCTTGTTCTTGGCTTTCAGTTTTCCTTCACCCAGAGCAGCAGGCTGTACAAGGTGTGCTATGTAAGGGAGACAGCAGGCAGAGCCGCCTGCTGGGACTGGTGCGGTGCCGGCTGGAAAACGCCACCCAGGAGCATGCGTAAGTAGGATCAGCTCGCCCTGTGCAGGCCAAGGGTTGTTCTTCACTGTCCTCCAACTTGACTTCAGTCATCCTGTCTGAGTCTCCCAGAGTAATTAACATAATGATAGTATTCTTGGAACACCACGTTCTAAGCCCTTTGTAATCAGCAAGATGTAACGTGGAAGCTTCTAGAGAAGAGGCAGTTATCACACCTGGCTAGATTCTGAGCTGGCGGGAGTGCCTGAGTTCAGATCCAGACGCTGTGATCTTCATAGTGCGTTTACTCTGAGCAAAGATCAGAAGGCTGAACTGGATGTAGGAGCTCGCACCAGTAATCCCAGAAAGCTGAGGCAAGACTGTCACAAGTTCCAGGCCATCCTGGGCTACATAGTGAATCTAACTAAGCTAGCCTAGGCTAACAGTGAGAGAGATGATTGCTCAGTGGTTAGAATGTGTACTGCTCTCGCAGAGGACCTGAATTTGGTTCCTAGCACCCACACACACATCTAGTGGCTTATAACCCCTGTGACTCTAATTCCAGGAGATATAAATCCCTCTTCTGGACTCTATGGGCACTTGCACTCACATGTGTGCATGTGTGCATGCATATGCACGCGTGTGTGCGCACATGCACGTATGCATACACACACACACACACACGAGTGAGTTAAAAAATATAAATAAATATTTAAAGAAAGAGAGGGAGAACTGGAGATGGGTCAGTTAGTGAAGTGCCTGCCACACAATCATGAGGACTCGAGTTTGGATCTCCAGGACCCATGGAAGAAGCTCGGGTGTGGGGTGTGGTGAGATGGCTAACTGGTTAAGAACATTTGTTTCTGCAGAGGACCTAAATTTGGTTCTCGGCACCTACATCAGGCTCACAGCTACCTGTAACTTCAGCTCCATGGGTTCAGATGCCCTCTTCTGGTCTTCGTGGGCACCTGCACACTTGAGGCGCACGTGCACATACACACACACACACATACACACACACATACACACACATCTAAAAATAAATCCTAAAGAAGTTAGGGGAGATAGAGAGATAGGCGGATCCCTGAAGCTCACTGGCTAGCTAGTCTAGCTGAATCAAGGTGTTTTAGGTTCACTGAGAGACTCTGTCTCAAAAAATAGAAATGTAGGGGTTGGAGAGATGGCTTAGAGGTTAAGGGCACTTGTTGGTCTCTCAGAGAACCTGGGTTCAATTCCCTAGCACATGGTGACCCACAACCATCAATAACTCCAGTTCCAGGGAATCTGACACCCTCTCCTGCCCTCTGCCAACAGCAGGCAGGCACACATATGGCACCAGTACACATGGAAGCAAAATATCCATACACATAACATTAAATGAATAAATTTAAAAAATAATTTTAAAGAGAGGAGAGTGGTTGAGGAAAGATACCTGAGGGTCACATATGCTACACAATAAAAATTTAAATATTAAAAAAGAGATTAATGGCTGAGAATGGTGGCACAGGCCTTCGATCCCAACACTTGGGAGGCAGAGGCTTGCAGGCACCTATGAATTCGAGGTCGGCCTGGTTTACATAATGAGTTCCAAGACAGCCAAAGCTACGTAGAGAGAGCCTGTTTTGAAAAAAATGTTCATTCAGTGTTGCCTAGCAACACTGCAAATTCCACAGGAGCAGAGGGAGTAAATAATACCTGTGAAGGTCTTACAGCTTGTAAGTGAACCTCAGGGTCTCAGAGCCAGGAGGAAGGGGGCTTTCGACATTTTCTGATCTGCCGCTCCAACTTGATAGGTGGGGAAACTGAAGTCCAGAGAGCTGAATCGGCTTCCTAGGTTTACACTGTTCCTGTCACTCACGTGCTAGATGGCACCAAATCGGATTTTCTTCCAGCTGTGAGGAGTTATGTTTTGATGACCTCATCCACAAACTACAGCTTTTCTGGGCACCGTGGATGGAGAAGGCTTGAGGCACAAGTACGACTAGGGCACTGCCAGCCACACACTAGGGACCTACAGGTTACCACTAAAGAAGTATTGGCACAAGACACCCCAAGACCAAGTTCTCCGCACAAAGGAGACTTATTTGCCTCCGAGGGCCAAAGGGCAGGGAAAAGAAACAAAGACAGGAGATAGAGGGTAGGGAGAAGGCAAAAGGCAAAGGAGAGGGGAAGGGATGTTTTCCCAGAGGGATAAAGGATTGCATCTGGAGGGGAGACAGATGCGGACCATAGGCAAACAACAGTTTATAAGGGCAAAAGGGGAAACCCCATATTAGGATGAGGTGTTTAATTTTGGTTGGGCATGTTAATTAGGAAGTCAAAAGGGGGCTTTTGGTTGCTAGACTTCAATACTTTGATAACTGGACACTGGTGGTCAGCCTCAGGGAGAGGAAGCACCAGTAAGGAATTCGTGGCTTCAGGTTTAGCAAGTAGAGGGGATGGGGGAAGAGCAAAGCCTGCCAGAGCCATGCTTGCCAGACTCAGGCCTTCTAGAGCCCCTTCAACTACAAGCACTCCAACGCTGCGGGCCTTTCTTTGGACTGCCAGCTCCCGAATAATGACACAGAGACTTCTTATTAAGTATGAAAGCTTGGCCTTAGCTTAGGCTGGTTACCAACTTGCTCTTAAAACTTAAATTAGGTTGGGCAGTGTGGTGCACATCTTAAATCCCAGCACTCGGGAGGCAGAGACAGGCGGATCTCTGTGCGTTTGAGGTCAGCCTGGTCTACAAGAGCTAGTTCCAGGACAGTGAGGTCTACACAGGAAAAACCTTTCTCGGAAAAACTAAAAACCAAAACCAAAACCAAACAAACAAACAAACAAAAAACCTTAAACTAACCTATTTATATTAAACATTCTGCCACGCCACGTGGCTCATTACCTCTTTTCAGTACCTCACATCCAACTTACTCTGAATCTGGCTGGTGAATCTGCCGGCTCATATTCTTCCCCAGAGTTCCTATCTCTGCCCAAAAATCCTATCTGGCTAGCTATTGGCCAATCAGCTCTTTATTAAGTCAATCAGAAGGTGCCTTAGGCCAGTGAGGAAGGACATTTTTTTTTTTTTACATGCTTGCTTTATTTAACTTTATTTATTTATTTTTTATGTGCATTGGTGTGAGGGTGTCAGATCCCTTGGAACTGGATCTTCAGACAGTTGTGAGCTGCCATGTGGGTGCTGGGAATTGAACCCATGTCCTCTGGAAGGGCAGTCAGTGCTCTTAACCGCTGAGCCATCTCTCCAGGCCCTTGGAAGGACATTTTTACATACGAAAAGATTATACCAAGACTCCAAAGTGTATCTCTTCTGCTTTGTGTCCTCAGTCTCTTCCTGTATACACACCGGAGGATGGCCATCACAGGAGACGATGTATCCCTGGACCAGATAGTACCACTCTCAAGAGATTTTACGCTGGAAGAAGGTGCTAGTCGGGCTGGGTGACATGAATGACTCTCTTCTGATCCCCCATCTCCATCATCTCTGCCCCTACTATAGGGGCGGGGAGGGATGGAGGAGGACGTGAGACAGGGGTGCTGAATTGCTAAAGGCATTCTCATTTCCCTCCCTCAGTGTCCCCAGATGGTGAACTCTACATCCTTGGTGAGTAGTCTTTTCAATCTGGGTTCCTGCTGGGGCACTGGGACAGAATCTTAAGACAGAGAGAAAGGTGTAAATGAGAACATTCCTCAGTGGGTGTGATGCTATGTGCCAGGAATCCTAGCATGTAGAAGGTTGAGGTAGGGGGATTGCCTTGCCTGGATGATGTAGTAAGTGTTAGGAATATTTCCTAACTGAGCCACTCCACCGACATAAAATAATCCCAATCAAACCAAAATCAGGCCAAATTAAAAGATATCCAGGCGGGGGCTGGAGAGATGGCTCAGCGGTTAAGAGCATTGCCTGCTCTTCCAAAGGTCCTGAGTTCAATTCCCAGCAACCACATGGTGGCTCACAACCATCTAAAATGAGATCTGATGCCCTCTTCTGGTCTGCAGGCAGACACACAGACAAGAATATTGTATACATAATAAATAAATAAATATTAAAAAAAAAGATATCCAGGCTTAATTAGACACCTGCACTCCCGGCTGGCCCTGAGGGGAAACGGGAAGCTGCCAACAGGACCACGGGAGAGGAAGAGGGAAACCATGCGTTTATTTTCTGGGGAGCAGTTTAAATAGCCTGTGGGAGTGCTTTTGGCCTTTCCTGGGGGAGGAGTCAAGGTTCAAGGGGCATAGGGGAAGGGCCTCCAAAGTCGGAGGCCGAGGCTGGGATTACAGTGAGTTCTAGACCAGCCAGAGTTAAGACTGAGACTCTGTTTCAAAATCCAACAACAAAAAAGAAAATGCTTGGGTTGGTAGGATGGCTTAGTGGAGAAGGATACTTGCTGCTAAGCGACTACCTGAGTTTGAGTCCCAGAACCCACTTGGTAGACTGAGAGAACTAGTTTCTGGAAGTTGTGCCCTAGCTGTGACACACATGTGTGAGCATGCACGTGTGAGCATGTGCGTGCATACACACACACACACACACACACACACACACACACACACACACAAATAAATAAATGTAATAAAAAAGGAGACTTTCCTGATACCCATACTGTGGTAACTGAGACCCTGAGTCAGACTGTGTCCCCACTACCCGCTGTTTCCATCCCTCACCCCCTTGTCACTGCATTTAAGTCTTCCCGGTGCCTTCCATCACCTCAGACATCACCGGTTGTCACCACAGAGCTCGCTCTTCCTCCTCTTCTTCATTTTTTGTTTTCCAAGACAGGATTTCCCTGTGTAGCTCTGGCTGTCCTGGAACTCACTATGTAGACCAGGCTGGCCTTGAACTCACAGAGATCTGCCTGTCTCTGCCTCCCAAGTGCTGGAATTAAAGGCATGCACCACCACCGCCCCGCTGAGATTCCACTCTTTAAAGCACATTTTAGTCCTTAGCTCCTGGTGGCCTCACTTCTTGCCTCCTCTCTACAGGCTCTGATGTGACGGTACAACTGGACACAGCTGAGCTAAGGCTTGTATTCCAGCTACCCTTTGGCTCACACACCAGAACGTTCCTCCAGGAAGTTGCCAGAGCCTGTCCAGGTAGGGAAGAGCCAGATTTCCAGGGAAGAGGGTGTTGGCTGGAGACACTACAGGCGCGTGTCACCACAGCTGGCCAGCCTTTGCTTCACTGTTTTGGGTTTCTGAACCTGAGTGTTAACTGGGCCATGACTCTGAGGATATGGGGCTTCTTCCAAGCTAGCTGGCAGTCCCAAATTCTCTATATCCATAGCTACAACTAAGAAAAGTCTGTCAAATGTACTCTGCCCTTAAACTCTACTCTGTTCCCCACTGCAGCTGAAAAAAAAAAAAAAAGAAAGAAGAAAAAGTCTAGCTTTGACCCAGCAGAGAGACGTTAGTGATCACTTGACAGAATTTGTTTAGCCAGGCAAGCAGAGGAGTGTTTGTATACAGAGCACAGGACCAGAGTTACTATGCAAATTCATGCTGCCAGGCGCTGGGGCTCAGGTGCTCACCCAGTGCCATTACGGAGGAGTTCCTTTAAAGCTAACATCTTGTCTCTGCAGGAGTGTACGGAGGGTTTGTCTCCTATTGTAACTGCCCACATTACCTTTTGGCTCCAAGCATCTCACGAGAGATGTGTCAGGAGGGTTGATGGCTTTGGAGACAAATTGGCTTTAGGGGATAAAAGGAAATCAGGCCAAGAATTATAGAGCCTTGAATGGTTAAGGAGTTTAATTGTTATTCTATAAGCAGGAAAACTTTACCTCTAAATTGTAAAATAATAAGATAATAATTTTATGATTGTTAGTAGTGGTTGTAGGTAGGGATAATAATAATTCAGGTTGGGCAACCCTAATGTGGAAATACAAACTGGAAATCCTCCAAAAGTCAACCTTATTTTTTTGTTTTATTTTTTGAGACAGGGTTTCTCTGTGTAGCCCTGTCTTTTCTGAAACTTGTTCTGTAGACCAAGCTGGCCTCGAACTCACAGAGATCTACCTGCCCCTGCCTTTGAGTGCTAGGACTAAAGGTGTGTGCCACTATAACTGGCTCAAACTTTGTTTTTAGCCCAGGGCTGCCTCAAGCCTGCTATCCAGCTGAGGATGACACGGAACCTCTGATCTTCCCGCCTCCACCTCCAAAATGCTAGGAGTACAGGTCCAAACGTACTTACTTAGTTTTCTTTAGACAGGGTCTCATATAGACCAGCTTTGAACGCCTGATCCTCATAGCTCTACTTCTCCAGTGCTAGGGTTACAGGTGCGAGTCCCCATGCCTGGGTTTTATAGTGCTGGCATCAAAGCAGGCCTAGCGCAGGCTAGAGCGCTACCCTACTGAAATATAGTTCCAACCCTTTCATTGTTACTTCCTTGTTGTTTTTCCAGACAGGGTTTCTCTGTGTAACATCCCTGGCTGTCTTAGAACTCTTTCTGCAGACCAGGCTGGCCTTGAATTCACAAAGATCTGCCTACCTCTGTCTCCTGAGTGCTGGGATTACAGGTGTGTGCCACCACCACCCGGTTTAGACTCTTTTCCAAGACAGTTAATCTTTTCCATAACTTTACTAGGTAGGTATTAACAGCATCTCAGGCTTAGTGAGGGCAAGTGCCCTGCTTGCCTATATGACTAGCAAGCTAGTAAACAGCGGGTGCATCCTAGGTGATCCAGGACTGGCTAGATGTCCTCTGGATCCTGAGGCTTTTGCTCCAGGGCTTCCCTGGCCGATATCTTTCTTTCTATGTAAACTGTTCAGAGACAGCTTCCTGGAGGAGGTGATGTTGAAGCCCAGACTATAAGGAAGAGCAAGCATTTTTCCCCCCAGTCAGGCAAAAGGAGGGGAAAGGGCAGCGGGGCTTAGGGGAGGAGCAATTGGAGGGACTGAACTTGGAAAGGTGTGGAGAGAGCCGAGCCAGGAGAAGCTAGCAAAGGGCAGCCTATGAAGAGTAACAAAGTACAGAGGGGCTTGGACTCTGCCCTCTAGCTTGGGCAGAGGCCTTACAAGAGTTTCCAAATGTTTCCAATAAGCTTTGCAAGTTTGAGAAGCCCTTCTGGCAACATGTATGGAGGGCCGTGAGAAGCTGGAGCAGGGAAAGCAGTAGAACAATAAGAAGGTATGTGCCACCATGGGTCAGGCATTAAGAATGAGGCTTAGGGGGCTGGAGAGGCCGCTTAGCAGTTGAGATAAGAGCACCAGTTGCTCTTGCAGAGGCCTTCGTGTGAGTTCCAGGGCCTACATGGCAGCTCATAACTATCTGTAGCTCTAGTTCTAGGGGACCTGATACCCTTTTCTGGTCTCTTTAGGTACCGAGATTTGCAAGGTACACATGTTTATTTATTTATTTTTATTTTTTTCGAGATAGGGTTTCTCTGTAGCTTTGGAGCCCGCCCTGGAACTAGCTCTTGTAGACCAGGCTGGCCTCGAACTCACAGAGATCCGCCTGCCTCTGCCTCCCGAGTGCTGGGATTAAAGGCGTGCGCCACCACCGCCCAGCTGGTACACATGTTTAGATGCTGGCAAAACATTCATTCACATAAAATAAATTGGTTTTTAAAAATGAGGCTTAGACCAGGGACATGGCCATGGGACTGGGGAAGAAAGGTTAGAGAGATAGCGAGGAAATCATTCCGATGAGGTCAAAGGTACCATGGGGCTGTGAGTTTGTGTGGACAGCTTTATCCCAACTGATCAGAGTAGAGCCTGTACATACTGGCCATGAGAGAAACACTTGCTGAGTGGATGAACAGAGTGCAGTGTTGTTACCTGTGGTCAGGGTCTGGGCTTGGTGTTTCCAGGTTCTTGGCCTCTTGTCCAAAGAACTCAAAAGAAGGGCTCCCATGGATTTGCAAAAGAAGCAAGCTAATTTCAGCAAAGCAAAGGTAGCGAAAGCTGTAGAGGGAGACACTGTCGAGACTGACAGTGGGCTGCCTGAGTAGGGGCACTCAAGGGCCCTGTGCTACAGCCTAGTGTTAGAAGGAAGTTGTTACTAAGGGGTGTAGTTTGGGTGGTTCTCTATTTTGATTGGTAGGTTTATATTCATTTATTCATATATTCATTTTTTTCTACTATGCATACCCCTTCCCATAATGCCTCTTGATTTTAATCATATGCATTTCCAACTGTGCACAGACATAAGATGGTAAGTAGAGACTTTTCTCTAAAGGATTATAGCGGATACAATGTCACCTTACTGCCAATGCACTCACACTAGTTCAGGCTGGGTCAGGCCTTCTATCTTTCACGTGTAGACAGATTGGGAGTAGGACTGAATAGAAAACTGTCTAAATGTGATTGATATCAGAGGTGGGGGAACTAACACTATTGTTCAGAGGTGGGAGCATGTGTAGCCCATCCAGGTACGAGGCTGAGGTGGTTGTGAAGTTGCTAGGTGCACTGTTCAGAGAGGGGTGTGTGTGTGCACAGTATGTGCAAGTGAAGGAATTAGGAAGCCAAATGAATTATTAAGAGAAGTGTGGGTGTGTATGAGAGAGAGAGACAGACAGACAGAGATGTAGAGAGTGAGAGATTGATTGATTAAGGATATGTTACTTTTAGGCTTGAGTGTCTGTCTTCCAGATCTCTTACTCTCTTCCTTGTTCTTTCCTTGAGGGTCCACATCCTGCCTGGGGTAAGCAAGAGGGAAGTTATGTACTAACTCTTATTTCTCTGACCATCACAACAAGGAACCTGGGTGACAGGGACAGATCTTTGGCTATCCACCAGTCAACACTTATACTTTCCATATGAAGGGATTGGGGTCCAGGATGAGCTCCAAGTGAAGGAATCAGGCTGTCCTCATTAATCCTCTCTGGGTAAGGCAGTGTCTTGGTCAAGAAACAAGTAAAGAAGGGAACACTCACGTTAATGAGTACCTACTGTATGCTAGACATTTTTTCTAGCTATCTAGATAATGCAAAACAAACCATAATTATTTTTTTCACGTGTGGAGTAATAGTAGTAAGGAACGTTTTATTCATGACCCAAGTTTTAACAAAAGCCCTAGATCTGGTAACCCCAATAGTCTAGTCTTGCCCACTGATTCCAATTTTGCAATTAAAGAGACTAGTAATGGCCAGGTATGGTGGTACACACCTTTAATCCCAGTACTTAGTTGGCAGAGGCAGGTGGACCTCTGTGAGTTGAAGGCCAGCCTGGTTTACATAGCCATTTCCAGGACAGCCAGAGCTACATAATGAGACCCTGTCTCAACAAATAAAGTAAAATAATTTAAAAAAAAAAAGAGAGAGGGGGGCTGGAGAGATGGCTCAGAGGTTAAGAGCATTGCCTACTCTTCCAAAGGTCCTGAGTTCAATTCCCAGCAACCACATGGTGGCTCACAACCATCTGTAATGGGGTCTGGTGCCCTCTTCTGGCCTGCAGGCATACATGCAGACAGAATACTGTATACATAATAAATAAATAAAAAAAAGAGAGGGGCTTTTAAGTGTTGTGTATAAGCTGACACAGAAAATGTAAGACACGTCACCTGAGACCATTCAGGAGCTGAAGTAACAAGATAGGTTTTGACACTAAAGCCCACAGAATGCAACAGTTTTAGCTGAGACCCCAGCTCAGCCACTTCCTGTATAAGAACGTGGGTGGTTCTTTTACTTCTTCAGGCCTTTGTTTATGATCTCTTCGATGGAAAGGGAGAGATAAACTTGCCTTACCTAATACTCTAGGGGTTTTGTGACAGTCAGCTGAGGCTGGCTGTGAGTTGGTACTAAGGAACACTGAAAACAATTTGAAAGCAGTGTCCAGCCATGACACAGCCCAAGACTTGAGCTTAGGTCTCCTCAGTATGATGTCCTTGCAAATCCAATTCAGCTGGGTCTGGTTCATGCAGTTCTACAAGCTGAGCAGGCAGGACAACAAGAAGGGTTTAGCAAGAAGGGTTAATGCCAGGGATTGGGAGTCAGAGGCAAAGGTTGCTCAGGAATTTCTGGAGAGGAGAGTGCCAATCGAGTTAGGTGTACCAGAAGGTTGTCTTGTTGTTCCACCCTCCCCCCCACCTCCGGTTTTCGAGACAGGGTTTCTCTGTAACTTTGGAGCCTGTCCTGGAAACTAGCTCTTATAGATCAGGCTGGCCTCAAACTCACAGGTCCGCCTGCCTCTGCCTCCCGAGTGCTGGGATTAAAGTTTTCTTTTTTTTTTTTTTTTTTTTTTTTTTTTTTGTAGACAAGATTATTTCACTATATTGCTCAGGGTGGCCTGAAAGTCTCAATCTTCCTGCCTCAGCTTTGTAAATGCTGAGATTACATGAGTGTAGCCCAGGCTGGTCCTTAATTTCTGATCCTCCTAATTCTACGTCCTGAGTTCTGGAATTAGAGGTGTGTCCTACCCCCCCCCCCCCCCCCACCAGTTTTATGTGGTACTGGGTATCGAACCCACCGCTTGGTGCATGCTAAGTAAGCTCTCTACCTATCTACCTCCCAAGGTTCCCAGAGAGCTAGTCTTAATGGTATATTTCATTATAGCTTATATCTGGGTTATCTGGAGTGGCCAGGAAGTTGCAGATGGAGGTTGGCGGTAGTTAGATCCCCCAGCCCATTCTTCAGTGCCCGCATCCGGTTAAGTCTCCTACTTAACACCCACTTTGTGGCCTTGCATTTAGCCCTTCTGAACTTAGTTGCCTTCTCTATAAAATTAGGATAATAGTTCCCTACCTAATAAAGTTCGTTGGATAATGACGCAGTCCTGCTTTGGCAGAGCACTTTCATCTTCATTTCTGTTAAATGCATTTGATTTCCGATCCACGCTGAACAAGAAGAAAGCGGGCTCGAAGAGTCTCCACCACACATAGTCTTACAGAAGCACAGCCGGTTTTTCAAACCCGTGGCTCAGTCTGTGCTCCATTGTCCCTGCCGCAGGTTTTGATTCTGAGACGCGGGATCCCGAGTTCCTGTGGCTGTCTAGATACAGGTGCGCAGAGCCAGAAGCCCAGTCGCTGAAACCGCGCGAGTGGAACTCGGACCCGGGTACCCCGAGCGGGTGCACGCTTATTGGAGGAGGCAGGTATCAGTCTCGGAACGCACGGCGAGGATTGGAGGATATCTTGCTTTAGTAGCAGCATTCTGCCTGGGGGGGCGGGACCACGGAGGAATCGGTATTTCTATTGGCAGAGGAGGCGCACGGGGGCGGGCCCGTGGGAGGACGGAGAGCGGGCGGCGGGATGAAGCACTTGAGGAAGCAGACTGGGAAATGTCGGCGGGCGGCGGCTTTCGGGAGCGCGACTGTGCAGGTTGGGCGGTCACTGCGGAGCGGGGCTGCGGTGTCGGGCTTTCGGGAGGACTGGCGGGTCGGCCAATGGCCTTGTGGGACGAAGGTCGAGCTCTTGACCACGGGCGAGGCGGGGGGATGCTAAGGCTCAAGTTCTGCTGGGAAGTTACTCTCCGCCGGGCGAGAGGGCGACAGGCCGGTGGTCCGCGGGTACCCGGGAATCCTGAGGCAGAGGGTTTAGGGAAGTCGCGTTAGTGGCCGGGTGCGTGACCTCGGACTGCTTGTTACGCCTCTCGTCGTTTCGGTTTCTCCAGCCGAGGTAGTTCCTCCGTCCTGGCCTTGCGAGGGTGGCGAGTGTCGGGGGGTGTGCGCGACGGTGACAAGAGTCGTCTTCGCATGAGGTGCCGTGTGTGCTGGCGCTCCCTGTGCGCCACAGCCGCTGGGACAGAGTGGCCCGCGCACGTAACCGGAGCGCAGGGGAGCCCTGGCTATCGTGAGACCCTCAGGGGTGGCCCTCGGGGATGAGGTGACAGGTGAACCCAACTACGTTTTTTGCCACTTGTCCATTGGTTGGATAATGTGTAGCACAAAGGCAAATTGTTGAACCCGATATTGTCCTTTGCAGAGGGAGAGAGAGGCTCGGGGCTGAAATTTGGGTCAGCCCTATGGTTTAGGGCTCGCTGCTGGTTGTTTTTTTCCCAAGGTGTTGTCCACGAAGCATCAGGCTCCTGAGGCCTTGGCGCAATCCCGAATCCCCATTTCTACCACTCCTGTCCGTCCTCTGCTGGCGATGAAAAGCCTGTCAAGTGGCCTTGTCAAGTATGGTATGGGCCAGGACGTTTGCAATGACAAGACTTGGAAAGTATGAGGAGTGGGGCGAGGTGACACGTTGGGCAAGTGTTTGTAAAAACGAGAGGAAGCTAGGTAGCAAGCTAGGTAGCAGAGGACTTCCTCAGCCTTTCCTTCCTCGAAACTACAGCGATGGCACCGAAGTCCCCCCCCCCCCCCCCTTGGCACAGACAGTGCGTGCGCCTCTCGGGCTTATCTCAAGGCCCACTACGCGCCTGTTGCTTCAGTTTCCACTACCTGCTGGCTTGTGGTACTGGCACTGGGGAGTTTTTAAGATGAACCAGAAATGCCATTCAGTGGAGAACAGGCCCAGTGGCAGCGCCAAGAGGTGGGTCCTGGGCATGGGAGTTTTGGGGCTTCTAGTAGAGAGAGATAGAGCATGAGAAATCAGGCCAGCCAGCTCTGGAAAGGGTTATCTGCCCCAGGGGGAGAAATGTGCCCTGGTCGCAGAAGCATTCATTTCGCTTCACAAAGGAAAAACTGGCCACATGGTGGACTTTGCTTTGATTTTTAATTCAAAAGATTCATCCCCGTCATAATACCCAACAGTGTGTGAGATTACGTGAGTAGCCGCTAGGTTGCTGCTGTTGAGATTGGAAAGAATGGTATCCAACCAAGGCCCTGTTTTGTTTGGGTCACAGAGTTGCTCTGGCATTCACAGAGAGTTGCTTCTTCTGTAAGAGATGGAAGGAACCCTTTGGGCCACCTCTGGATGCACCAGTAGATTCAGCCTCAGTGGAAACAAATAGTGGATTTTGATTCTTGCCATGTGCAGACTGTCAAAATACCCACTTCCCCAAAATCTGGGGAACTAACCCGGGGCAGAATGCTGCCTCTCCCTCTCAGTGCTGTTTATAGCCAGGTGTGGTAGCAGATGCCTATAATCCCAGCAGGACTAGGAATTTAGAGTTATCTTTAGGCATACCTGTGAGCTCAAGGCCAGTGGTCAGTTGGACTACAGGAAATGAGACACCATCTTACTAAAGCAGCAACAAAAACCAAAACAGGCCAGGCCGTGGTGCACACACCTTTAATCTCAGCACTCAGGGAGGCAAAGGCAGGTAGATCTCTGAGTACGAGGCCAGCCTGGTCTACAGAATGAGTTCCAGTACAGCCAGAGCTACATAGAGAAACCCTGTCTTGAAAAATAAACAACAAAAGCCCAAAAGAGGCTCAAACAACAACAGGTAAAGCAGCTGTTCTTCAGGAGCTGACATCCTGATGGAGAAAAGTCTCCCGTGTAAGTAGGGCTGAGGAGGCAAAGGCTCCGTCTAGCAGCAGGGTGGACTTTGTAGGGTAAACAAAGGCAACTGGAAGGTCTAGATTTTTGGGGGGGCAAGGTGAATCTTGTTTTCACTGCATCCCTTTTCCTTGTTAGAGGAAGATCTCACTTCAGTCATTCTTTCTCCCAAGCTCCTTTCTTTGGTTTGTGTCAGCTTAATTCAAGAGGCCGGGGAGATGGCTTAATGAGTAAAGTGTTCACCTCACACGTACGAGGACCTGAGTTCATATTCCGGAATCCCATGTAGAGCCAGGAGTAGAACCAGGTATACCGTCACGGCTTCTGTAATCGCAGGGTTCCTGTGGTGAGATGGGAACCTCTCATCTCATCAGGAGAACCTCCAGAAGCTCGAAGGCCACGTATCCTGCTCTATTCAGGGATAAGGAAGAGACTGTCTCAAACAAGGAGGGAGGTGAGAACTCCGTAGACACATGCAGACATCAGGCCAAGATCTAAGCAAGGGAGCTCCGGAGTGACTTGATGGGGCTGTAGTGGGGAAAGAGATGGAGCTAGTTCTTTTTTTTTCTTTGTTTGTTTGTTTTAATTTTTTGGTACAGGGTTTCTCTAGCTTTGGAGCCTGTCCTGGAACTCACTTTGTAGGCCAGGCTGGCCTCGAACTCACAGAGATCCACCAGTACCTCCCACGTGCTGTGATTAAAGGTATGTGCCACCAGTGCCCGGCACAGAGCTAGTTCCTAAGTCTGTGTCTTCAGCGTCACGGGTGTCTAGGTGCCGGGCTGTGGTGTGGAATCACAGTGGCTGCTGCTCTTGCTTTCTGGAGCACCATGGTCTTGTTTGGACTTTCAACAGGTCACTGTTTGAGACAGTCGCTGATCTGCTTCATTACTTCTTTATTGCTCTTAACTTTGGGACGCTCTTTCCTTCCTTAATAAGAACAGAGTGTGGCTTGGGAGGAATGTCTCATTATCACTGTCTGGCAACCAAAGGGCCTCTTAACTCATTCAGTCCCACTGGGGAGGCTGCATGGGGCTCAGTGCCATCCGAGTCATTTTGTAAAAAGTTCACTAGCATTTCCGTCTGGGTTCACGGCAGAGACCTGGAGTTGTGTTCCAGAGGATTCTGAGCAATACGGGGAAAGGAAACAGCTGAAGTCCCGTGGGGTAATCTAACCAAGTGGCAATAACAAGAACAGGAGCTGGGGTCCAGTAAAGTGACTCGTTGGGTAAAGGCACTGGCCACCAAGCCTGATGGCCTGAGTTTGACCCCTGGCACTTACATGGTAGAAGGAGAGAACTGACTCCCACAGATTGCCCTCTGACGGCCACACCTGCACTGTGGCATGCCTGTGCCCACTCACATCACACACCTGTACTCACACACAGATTCATAACAGATAAAGGAATAAATGTAATTTTAAAAATCAACAATGTGCTAACAACCAATTTTGGTGTTTTCTTTTCTTCTAGCTGATTTGAAGTTAGGCAGCTGTGTGTGTGTGTGTGTGTGTGTGTGTGTGTGTGTGTGTGTGTGTGTTTGGAGGCTATAGGTCACCCCAGGTGTTGTTCCCCAAGAGCCATCCATCTTGTTTTTGGAGACAGGGTCTCTCATTGGTCTGGAGTTCTGATTAGTCTAGGCTGACTGGCTATAGAGTCCCGGGAATCCTTTCTCTGCCTCCCCAGCCCTGGGATTACAGGTGAAAGCCATCACATCTGATGTTTTACGTGGCTGCTGGGGGTCGAACTCAGGTCCTTATGCTTCTGTAGCAGACACCTTACTGCCTGAGTGAGCTCTTGCTCCAGCCCTGTATCCAAATTCTCATTGACGTATGTTATGAATATTTTCCCCTGGGCCCAGGAAGCAAAGCATTAAACTCTGCCTGGCCTGTGAAAGGAAGTGACTGCTATTTATATCTCAGGGTAGCATAAAGGGCAACCTAGATTACCAGAGTCACAGAGAATGTTTAAAAAAATAGCCTGTGGGCTGCTTTTCTGTTTCTTTCATCTGGCTTCTCTGTATTAATAAGTAAAACCTGTGTGACCGATACAGTCTTTCAGTGTGGAGCAGATGAATTTGCCTTGTGTTTATCCTTGAGGTGGAAGTACTGCCCATCACGTCTGTAGTTGTAGGAAGTTCTTCGGGTCCCTAAACAAATGGATTTATTTTGAGCCACCTGTTTCTTTAAACAAAACGGTACTTTTCTTCCTTTTGTTATTTCTGTCTCCATTTTTCTTCCTTGTCCCATTCAGCCTCTTGTTTCTACAACGGGCAAACCTCCTTAATTGTTTTCTTAAGAAAACAGTTGGTTTTGGAATTTTACAATGCCTTGCCTGGAACAAGAGCCATGACCCACTCAATTAGAAATGGGGCTTTATACAGAAACCCTCAGGGCCTGGCAGTTCAGGAAGAGGGAAGCATCAATATTTACTAGAGGAAGGACAATGTTGGGGCATAGAAACTGGTGTGTGTGTGTGTTGTTGCCTCAAATACACTATAACAACAAAAACACAACAACAAAAACAAAATAGCTGGGTGGTAGTTGCAGCGGCAGTGCACAGCTTTAATCCCAGCACTCAGGAGGCAGAGGCAGGTGGATCTTTGTGAGTTCGAGGCCAACCTGGTTTATAGGATGAGTTTCAGGATAGGGAAACCCTGTCTTGATAAAAACAAACAAACAAACAAACAAAAAACAACAAACAAACA